TGCTTAGAGAGAGGAAGAGAGTGAGAAAGAAACATCAATGTGAGAGAGAAATATCAATCGGTTTCCCTGTGCATGCGCTCTGACTGGGGACTGAACCCCACAACTTAGGTATGTGCACTGACCAGAAATAGAATGCACAGGATGATACTCAACCAACTGAGCCACTCCAGCCAAGCTGTTGGAAGTTTTTTAAATTACTAATTTGATTTTCTTAGTAGTTATCTGCCTGTTCAGATTTTCTGTTTCTTCCCCACTTAGTCTTGAAAGGTTATATGTTTCTATGTATTTATACATTTCTTCCAGGTTGTCCAATTTCTTGGCATATAATTGTATTTTCTTATAATCCTTTGTATTTCTGTTGTGTCAGTGTCACGTTTCCTTTTTCATTTCTAATTTTATTTATTCAGACCCTCTCCATTTTTATTGACGAGTCTCATTAAAGGTCTATCAATTTTATCTTTTCAGTGTACCAGGTCTTGGTTTCATTGATATTTTGTATTGTTTCTTTCAGGCTCATTTCACTTGTTCCCACTTTAATCTTTATTATTTACTTCCTTCTACTCACTTTGAGCATTGCTTATTCTTCTGTTTTCTAGTTCCTTTAGGTGTAAGGATAGATTGAGATTTTTTTTGTTTTGTGAGATAGGCCTGTATTTCTATGAATTTCCCTCTTAGAACTGCTTTGGCTGTGTCCCACACATTTTAAGTTTTTTTCACTTTCATTTGTCTCATTGTATCTTTTAATTTATCCCTTGATTTCATTGTTAAGCCATTCACTGTTTAGTATCATGTTATTTAACCTCCATGTGTTTGTATGTTTTTCAGTTTTCTTCTTGTAATTGATTTCAGACTCATACCATTGTGATCCGAGAAGACACTTGTTATTATTTCAATCTTCTTAAATGTATTAAGACTTGATTTATGGCCCAATGTGATCTACCCTGAAAAATATCCCGTGTACACTAAGAAAAAATATATATATTCTGCTGCTTTGAGGTGAAGTGTTGTAAAAAAAAAAAAATCAAATCCAGCTGATCTAATGTAATTTAGTGTCACTCCTTCCTTGATGATTTTCTGTCTGGATGTCCTATCCATTACTTTTGATCTCTCCCTTTATGCTTACCAATATTTGCTTTATATATTTAGGTGCTCCTACATGGGTACATAGTTGTTTACAAGAGTCATATTCTTTTGTTGGATTGATCCCTTTGTCATTATGACTTGTACTTCTTTTGTCTTTTGTTATAGACTTTGTTTTAAAGTCTATTTTGTCTGATGTAAGTACAGAGTTTTTTTTACCATTTCTATTTGCATAAAATCTCTTTTATTTTTTTTATCTTATCTTCACCTGAGGACACTTTTTGCATTCATCTTCAGACAGAGTGTGAGGGAGAGAGGAGGAAGAGAGAGAGAAACATTGATGTGAAAGAGACACATCAAGTGGTTGCCACCCACACAATCCCAACTGGGGCAGGGGAAAACTGCAACCGAGGTATGTGCCCTTAGCAGGAACTGAACCTGGGTCTCTCTGGATCACAGGCTGACACTCTAACCACTGAGCCAAACGAGCCAGGGGTGCATATCTTTTCCATCCCTTTCCTTCAGTCTCTGTGTGTCTTTTGATCTCAAATCGTATCTTGCAGGCTGCCTATGTATTGGTTTTTGTTTTTTTTAAATCCATTCGGCCACCCTATGTCTTTTGATTCGATAATTTATTCCATTTACATTTAAAGTAATTACTGATAGGTATGTAATTATTGCTATTTTAGTAATTATTTTCTGGTTGTTTTTATAGTTTAACTTTGTTCCTTTCTTATTCTCTTATATGTTGACAACTTTCCATAGTGCTATGTTTGGATTCCTTTATTTATATTTCTTGTATAACTTATAGATTTTTGGTGTCACCATGTGTTTCATATCTACAGGGTATGGCAAAAGTAGGTTTACAATTGTTCATATGGAAAATAGTACAACGACTAGTAAATGATAATACAAGAATAAACTCTGTGTTTCATGTAAACCTACTTTGCTCACCCTGTACTGTTATTTTAAGATGATGGTCATTTACGTTTGAACACATTCTAAAATCACTCCTTGTTTATGTTTTTGTCATTCTCTTTTACTTTTGTGTTGGTGTGTTTGTGTATATCCCTTAATTTATTGTTGTAAATGATCTTCCTACTTTCCCTTTTAACTTTTTTTTTTTTTTTTTTATCATCCTCACCCGAGGACATTTTTCCATTTTTTGTTCAGATAGAGCGGGAGGCAGAGAGAGGAAGAGAGAGAGAGAGAAACATCAATGTGAAAGGGACACATCGAGTGGTCGCCACCCGCACAACCAACCAGAGCCGGGGACAAACTGCAACCGAGGTACGTGCCCTTAGCGGGAACCAAACCCGGGTCCCTCCGGACCGTAGGCCGATGCTCTAACCGCTGAGCCAAACCGGCCAGGGCGTCCGTTTTAACTTTTATTCTAACTTTATAATTGGTGATCCACTGCTTTTATTATGTTTGCCTTTATCAGTGAAAATAGTTTCTTTCCTATATATTTTTATTTATATTTCTGATGTTTTCTTCTTAAAGAAGTTCCTTTAACATTTCTTGTAATACTGGTTTAGTGGTGATGAGCTCTTTTAGCTTTTTCTTGTCTGGAAAATTCTTTAGTTTTTCTTTGATTTTAAATGATAACCTTGCTGGTTAGAGAATTCTTGGTTGTATGTCTTTGCCTTTCATCACTTTGAATATTTCTTGCCATTCCTTTCAGCCTACAAAGTTTCTGTTGAGAAATCAGCTTACAGTCTTATGCAATCTTGTCTTTAACCTTTGGCATTTTAATTATGTTTTGTCTTGGTATGGGCCTTTTGGGTTCATCTTGTTTGGGATTCTCTGTACTTCCTCTATTTGTATGTGTTTTTCCTTCACCAGGTTAGGGAAGTTTTCAGTTCCTTGTCCTCTCTTGTCTTTCTGGTACCCCTGTGGTGCAAATGTTGGTATGCCTGATATTGTCCCTCAGGTCAATAAAACTATCCTTAAATTATTATTATTATTTGGTACTACAATGAGTGTTTTCTGCTACTGTGTCTTCAAGATCACTTATTCAATCCCCTGCTTCTTCTAATTATTCTTGATCCCCTCTAATGTAGTATTCATTTCAGTTATTTTATTATTCATTTCTGACTAGTCCTTTTTAATGTTTTCTATCTCCATGTTTATATTTCCTATCTCTTTGTTGAAGTCCTCACTGAGGTCATCTATTTTTCCCCTAACATAATTAAGCATCCTTATAATCACTGTTTTGAGGTCTGCATCAGGTAGATTGCGTGTCTTCACTTTGTTTAGTTATATTTCTGGATTTTTGTCCTGTTCTTTAATTTGGGACATGCTTTTTTGTCTCCTCACTTTGGTGACTCTGCATTTGTTTCTATGTACTAGGTAGATTTGCCACATCTCTGGTTTTTGGCAGAGTGGCCTTATGCAGTAGGTTCTCCTGTGGGGCCCATTGGTGCAATCTGTCTCTCTGGTTACCTGTGTGCTCCAGTGGTATCCCTTGTGTGTTTTGTATGTGCTCTACTGTTGTAGTTGAGCCATGACTGCTGTTGGCACATCAGTGGGTGGGATTGACCCTCAAGCAGACTGGCTATGAGGGCTGGTTGTGACTATAGCAGACAAGCTGTTGCGCTGGGGCTGACCTACAGAGCAGGAGTCACTTTAGGGCTTTGAGGCAACCAAGTCTGCCCTTCGAGTGTGTTGTCTGTTGAGCTGATTGGGTGGTGCTCTGAAGCCACCCACTACTTGTGTTGGTTCTAGAGCTCCTTAGGAGGGGGACCAGTGCAGGTCAAGGTCAGCCTCTGCTTGTACGTGCTGCTCCTCTATCCTAATCTTCAAACAAAAGTCCTACCTTAACCTTACAGTTTAGCCCAACTATCACCATGTCTATCAAACCATCCCCCATCCCACAGAGAAGAGAGTATCACATCCTCAGTTCTCACAACCTCTTAGGTACCTCTTTCATGGCAGTTATCATCACTGACCTTTGGTTCTGGTGACTGGGTACATCTTTCCTTTCCCCTGGGTGGCTACAAGTGCCGTGAGGTCAGGGATGGCTTACCTCTCTTAGCATGGGATCTCAAGCCCACTGGACAGTCAGTGAAGGAGCCCCTTCCCCCATGTGGAGGTTTGAGTGGAGGAATTCGAGGCAGAGGCAAGCAATGGGGACTGAAAGCACACAATCCCTACTTGTCCACTTGCCTTTAAACAGCCAGGAAAGTGCAAGCAAAGGGCCCACACATGGCATTCTTAATGTTCCAAACTGACATACACAGAAAATGGTCTGCAACACAGCTCTGACACACTAGCACTGGTAAAATGGACTATTTCAGGCAGTACGTTTCAGAAAATAAACATCCATACCAAGAAGGATACCAAAGACATATCCCTCCTACATGTGCGAATGCACACGCAGCTTCACGTACCAGCACAGGAGGGCTAGTGGAGCATTTTTTTATTTGTGTCTTTTTTTAAAGTCTTAGATTTTCAATCCAAACTTGACAAATCATCCTTGGGCAGTCTGGCATGGGCACAGGACAGGAAAGGCAGTTATGCTCAGAGTAGAGCTGCCAGCAATGGGTCCTGCAGCTCCCCCTGCCCGGCCTAGGATACAAGCTCTTTGTCAGGGACAGAAGAACTGGGTATAGGGCGATTCCCGCAGCAGCACCTCTGCCTGCTCTGTACCATGTCTGCTTAGCTTCTTATCCCTGTGATCCTACGCATGATATTTCAGCTTTTTTCTTCCCATGACTGTGTGACTTGCGGCTCACAAAGGATTTCCAGGACTGGGCAGCTGTGCCTGTCACACCCTCCCCTGCAAATGGCAAAGAAGGCTTCAGAAAAGAAACTCTTCCCTTTTCTATCAGACATGAGCCTTGACCTTGACCTCACCACTCATGTACAGGAAGATGGTCTCATCATCTTGTCACAAACCCAGGAGAAGAGCAAAATACCTTCTGGACGTGGTTTTGGCTTTTCCAACCCTCCGTCTTGCATGAGCTCAAAGGCAAAGGAGACGTTTAAGACCTGGAAAGAAATGCAGTGCATATGTTGTCGCACATTCATTCCTGGACCCTTGTGGAATCCCAGGACCTGCCCCCAGGAAGTGGTGCAGCCAGCGCTGTAGCAAGAGGGACAGAGGTGGAGCTAAAATGCCCTAATTTGTTTTTTTTTTTTTTTTTTTTATCCTCACCCGAGGACATTTTTCGATATTTTGTTCAGATAGAGTGAGAGGGAGAGAGAGAGAGAGAAACATCGACGTGAAAGCGACACATCGAGTGGTTGCCACCCACACGACCCAACCAGGGCCGGGGACAAACTGCAACCAAGGTACGTGCCCTTAGCGGGAACCGAACCTGGGTCTCTCCGGACCGCAGGCCAATGCTCTAACCGCTGAGCCAAACCGGCCAGGGGTTTTTTCTTTTTTTTTTTTTTTTTTAAAATGCCCTAATTTGAAGGAGAAATATGGCTACCAAACAAGCCATGCGGCGTGTGAGCTGGCCTGTACCAGCCTGCTGTTGGTGAGCACTCCTGGAGAAGTTCAAAATCCTCTTCCTGTCCTGCTGTGTTCCTGTGCCAATTACCAGGATTTTCAGCTCACAGACATTAGTGCTCTCATTTGAAAGGATCAGATAGCAAGACGTGTTCAAGAAGCGGAGAAAGGGTTCTGCCTTGGATCAAATGCCCCGTCTAGCATGCGGGCTGTGGCAGCCTGTGAGAGGCATCAGAACTAGGCTGAGTGTGGGTCCTCAGGTCTGATCAGCCTTGCAGACACCTTCCCTGTCACTTCTGGGGAGAGATGAGACTGGCCTGTGGTACCTGGCTGCAGCATATGACTAGGGGACGAAGGCCAGGCAGTTGCAGGGGTTTGGGGGGAAAGAAAGCATTGAGGATGCTTTGTCTTCAGGTAGCTCCTTTCCAGCTCAGTGCTCATCAAAATGGACCCCCCCTCCAACCACTGAAGACCCTGGGTAGACAGGAAGCCACTGCCTTTTTCCCAGATGGCCCCAGCACAGGTGTAGGCAGATGAGTCAGGGTGTGTGACGCATCACCGCCCCTTACCTTCTGTTCAAAGCTGTCCGGGGTCAGGAAGAAGCTGTGCAGGGGTACAAAGTAGCCCTCCAGGAGCCCCATGAGTAGCACCAGGTACACCCCATCTGCAAACTGGAAGGAGAAGCTAGGTGAAGGCACTGGGCCCTTGGGCCCCCAGCCAAGCCCCATCCAGAGGGCTTGTCAGCGTCCATGTCAACGTGTCTGGTCTGACTGGTCCAGCACTGGAGCCACAGCCCATGGTCCTGATCTCAGCTGATCCAGCATGTACTGAGTATCAACCGTGTTCGATGCCCTGACCTGGCACGTGGACCACAGACACGGGGGCAGGCGTGGCCCCTGCCCTGGAGGAGCTCACAGTCCCGTGGGGAGACGGGTGAGGAGAAAAGGCAGCGGCTGCTCTGAGGGAGGGAGGCACATCGGCTATGTGAGAGACAACGGTCCCTCTCTCTCACTGCAGGCAACAGGGAAGGCTTCCGGAGGAAGCGATGCCTGAATGGAGACCCGAGGGATGAGCAGAAATTACCTAGGATGGGGCAGAGGGAGGAGGGCAAGGGGATGTCCCAGGCCAATGGTGTGAGGCTAAGAGGGTGACTTGCTTTATGAGCAAAGTGCTTAGTGTCCCACAGGCTAGAAGGTCTCCTTTCTCGTGTCTCACGGCATCACGGCGGGAGAGGCAGCACAGCGCAGCTGTCATGTAGTTGGGCTCTGGAGCTAGAACTCCAGCTCTGCTCCTTACTGGCTGTGTGATCTGAGCAAGTTACATGATTTCTCTGAGGGTCATTGTTCTCATCGGTAAAATGGGGATGACAGTAGCTTTGCATCTACTTAACAGGATTATCATGAGGACTGACCTAGTTACTATGTGTAAAGTACTCAGAACACTGCTTGCACGTAGGCAACATTTAATAAATATTAACTACCGCAGGTCCTTGACTGACAGCATTACACTATAATGTTGATGAGAAAAAAAATGGTCAGCTGTGGCCACTGTCTGTGTGGGGCTGGCATGTTCTCCCTATGTCTGCATGGGTTTTTCCAGGTACTCTGGTCTCCTCCCACATCCCAAAGATGTTCACGTCAGGTGACTGGTGTGTCGACATCGTTCCAGTCTGAGTGCGTGTGGTGGCCCCATGATGGGAGGGTGTCCTGTCTGGCTGGGTCCTACCTTGTGCCCTGAGCTGCAGGGATAGTCTCTAGCTGTCTGTGACCCTGAACTGGAATGAGCAGGTTGGAAAAGAATTCTCTTACTTTAAAAAAATTTTTTTATTAATGCTAATGTAGGTATAGCTCACATTTATTTCAATGTTTAATATTAGAAGGATTTGGGGGGGTGGTCTTTATTTAGAAGTTCGGTGATATTTTCGTGACCAGAAATACGCTGTAGGAAAGTCTTGGTTAAACCAACTAGCCTATGGGAAAGTGGTTTAGTTATACATCCTTTTGCTTAGAGTCCCGTTCTCGAGAACCTCCCGACCACATTAAGTGAAGATGCTGTTACCATCTGAGAAAGCAACAAAGCAATCAGGACAGAGCCTCCCGGCTCTTGCTGACAAAGTACCACTGTGTGCCGAGGGCCCTGACAAGAGGCTTAGAGCCCTATCCTTTCCATCAAGGACAGTGGAGACTGGACAGGCTGGGAACCTGGTCTGAGGGACAATAATTTCCTAGGCTAAGCAGAGGGATTCAGGTCTTCTGCTCAAGGAAGCGCAGAGCGTGCGGTGGGCCCCTGGGGCAGGCTTTGTGGAGGAGCCGAGGCCTGGGGGTGAGGGAAACGTGGAAGGAGAAGGTGTCACAGGTATCGAGGAGGGCCTGAGCAAAGATAGGGTGGTTGGAGGGGTATCGGGTATGCTGGAACCTTTCAAAGGTAGTGGGCCCACCAAATGTTTGTGGGCACAAAGAGCAGTTGCTAGAGTTCATAAGAGGGCAAAGTTCTTGGAATCATCTTAGGAAACTTAAAAAAACAACAACAAACTAGACTTTCTGGTCTGGAATGTGGCTGGGCCCAGGCTGAGCTCTTTAGGGTGACCGGCTGGTGGGCCTGTGGCTCAGCCTTTGTTACGGGCATATGACCCTGAGCATGAACTTGACCTGGGAACAGCTTCCTCCCTGCTTCCATCCATCAGGTGGGGAGGGCCTGAGCATGACTCATCCGAGGCCACCGTGTGTGTGTGGTGGTGGTGGTGGTGGGTGTTAAAGAGCAGACCCCAGCATTTGTGTCAAAATCAGAGCCCTCCCATGAAATTAGTTAACTGGGCCTTATTCTGGCTGTGGCTGGAATGGGCAGAGAATAAAAAATCCAATCTGTCAACTCAGGGGAGGACCTCGGGTTAGGGCTGGCGGTGCTCACAGCTGTGAGTGCCGCTGACGTAGACAGCGCCCACCCGACTGCTCTTTCTGACGACTTGATGGTAAAACTGGCAGAGACGCCCTTTCGTAGCTCTCCCTGTCCATGCAGACTAGCTCATTCTAGCTCACCCGAGGAAATATCACTGCTCCAGAGCATTCCCTAAGTCCCCACAGAGTATACAGACTCCTTCCACAGAGTCCAGACACACTCCGATAGTGCTCAGGCACAGCCTCGGAGATTGCTTTTAAAAACAACAGGAGACGCCCACGCGCTCAAAGGAAAACCCCACGTTAGAAATCCATCCCAATGAGAGGAGGCTGGGAAACAGGATACATCACAGTCTGCAAGTATCTCCCACTAAAGACCAGTTATTGCCTATAAAGGAGGGAGAGAAGCTTTACAGTAGGGAGGTCTGGTGGGTCCCAACATACCCCTGCGATCAAAGTTACTCTCACCAGTATCCGACTGGTGGGCCAAAGTGTCTAAGAAGAAGACAGCATTACTGAGGAGGTATTGTTACTGAAAACGCACAACCTGAATCTGACTGTGAGGGGGGAACTGAGAGCCGTTCTGTGAATCAAAGGGCCTGCACTCTTCAAAAATGATGTCATGCAAAGAAAGGCTGAGGATTTGTTCTAAAATAAGACACTAAAGAGACTAGACAACTAAATACAGCATGTGAGAGTAATAGGGAGACTGGAGAAATTGGAATAGAGAGTGTTTCTTTGAACTATGTGACATTGTCAAAAGTTGTTAACTATCAGCAATTGCATATGGTTTAACCTAAATGATGTATTGTATCAATGTTAGAATTACCAGAATTTGATCACTGGATTGTGGGTGTCTATGAGAACGTACTTGTTATTTGGAGATGTATGCTGAAGTACTTAGGGCAGAGAGCGGGAAAACAACCCGTATGCGGCCAAATGGTGACAACTGCTATATGTAGGTGAAGAGCACCCAGATATTCATGATACTATTCTTCCACCTTTTCAAAATAAATTCAGATAAATTCCAAGTAGTTCAGTCCTCTGAGCAGAACAGAATCCCCTCCTTCCAGGAACAGCTCAGGGTCAGGCTGGAAAGCCCTCCTGGCAATGCAGGGATGGGGCACTCGGAGTGGTGGCGGGGTGCCCCCTTGGCCCCCGCCCTCCACTGGGGGCTGTGACCCACCTGGGTTTCCAGTTCTGTGACCTCCAGATTCAGTTTATTCAGGTGTTTGTTCACGAACGTGATGAGAGTCTAAAAGAGAAGCACGGGCCAGGCACTGAGATGGAGACCCTCACCAGTGCCAGACCCTCGAGGCCACCTGTGACTCCACCACAGCACAGGGACCAGGGCGATCACTTAGGATAAGGCCCAGTGGAGAGCACTGGGCCTGGGACCGCTGTGCTGCCCAGGCGAGGAGAGAAGCGGCCTGTGAGGCTCTGCTGCAAAGCCCCGGAGGTCACGGGAGAGGCTGGCCCCCAAGGACGTGCGGTCCCGCACATGATGAGAGCCACACTGTGCAAGAAGCTCGGAGTCCTGAGAGGGTGGAGTTTCTGATCCCAGGGGCAGAGGCCCAAGGAAAATTAGGAAGGGGGCCAGAGAAGAAATGACCCCTCTGGATTCCTCCTTCCAATCCCTTTCCAAGTACAGGCATCTGTGCCCGGGTGGGTGGGGTCTGTGTGAGAAGCAGGGACAGCTGGGCTTCAGTGAGGGTGGGAAGATAGGGTGCCCATAGGCTCAGAGACCCCTGAGAGACGCTATCATCTGGACGGGAGAAGAAAGGGACTGGATGGGGGAATCTGGCGAGAACAGGACAGGTAAAGCGGACATCAAGCAGGAAAGCCCCATGTTTGCAGAGATCCGGTGATGAAACCAGTTTCAGGAAGTTTGCAAGCTGCAGGGATGGGTTTTCCTAAAAGGTTTTGCTACATCTGCCCCCTCCCTCCTCCTTCCCTCCCAAGCACCTCTTTCCTACCTTTTTCACCACGTTGAGCTTATCTGGTGCATGGTCGAACAAGGTGTCGAAGGCATCCCGTTCTGAAAAAGAGGACAATTCCAAGTGAAGCACGGAGCTGATTCCTGGTGGGAAGCCCACCCCAAGCCCTGGCCACGTGGTCAGCTACAGATGGGAGCTCTTTAGGGTATGAGGCTGTGCTGGGAACTCCAGCAGCTGGGTTTAGGGCAGCGTTTTGGGTGGATTCTCACCTTAGGAGCCGTGTGTGTGCGCGCGCGTGTGCGTGCATGTGTGTCCACCTTCTTTTGGGCTGGGATTGAGGGGCTCTGTCAGGCACTTTGACTTGTGACTGGGCATTTCTCCTCAGTCTTCATGTTCATTACATAATGATTTAGTCATGCTTCTGAAGTTTTTTGGAGGTAGAATGATATCCAAATATCAAATCACTTCACGCCCTAATGATCAGAACCAGGACACCCAGACAGACATCCTGGCAGCGTGGGGAGCACAGAGCCCCAGGACAGGATGCAAGCTCCTGAATGATCCAGTCACTTCAATACTTGGTGCCTCAGTTCCTCTTCTGTAAAACGCCATGAGGAGTGAACCTCCTAGGTGTGTCATGAGATGAACAATGAGCATGTATGTGCATGTGCTCTGTGGACGCTGAAGCATCTACCCATCTGAGTTTTAGCATTATTGGAATCATTCAAAATATGCATAGTAAATACAGGATCCTAGGAAATAGCAAAGCCATGCCCCCTGCAGGTCTCTCCTTGCTACAGTTCCATGCTCTCTGAACAGGGAGTTGAAATAATAGAGGGGAACCTGGGGCAGGGAAGGTTCATGGGCCTGGAGGTCTGTTTTTCCCCCCTCTTGCCCCAGTGGGCAAGTCTGCGACTTCCAGGAAGGTGATTGTGATCTCTGACATTCAGACTTGATGAACAAACCCAGAGTTCTGAGAAATGGGAGAGATAGGAGCTGTGATAAGGAAAGAGAAGAAAGGCAGCTTCTAGAAGGGCTGGGCAGAGTGGGGAGAGGGGCCAGTCCAAGTGCGTAAATACACTTCCTTCCTTGACTTGCACAGTTCGCTCAGAGCAAGCCTGCCCGCACATGCCAGGACCCATCCAGAAGCCCAGCAAGGTCCATGGTCCGGTTACTTGCAAAAGGACTGTACAGCTGTGGTTATTTTCCTCTTCCCACCAGTAAGCTGACCCTCCCTACCAAGTGGCTCTGTCACCAGGCTGGTGCAGACACACAGGTAGGAAGCAAGCTGAGTGCCTGTTCTTCCCAGCTGCTGCAGAATTAACTAGACCCCCGTGGAAGACACCAGCACCATAGGGCAATCTTAGGCAACTCACCATGCCTTCCGGAAAGAGCCCTGTAGGAAAGGGAGAAAGAAAACAGTGTGAATTTTCTTCCCTTGCCCTTGACCGAAAAACCCCAAAGCTTCCTTGGCATTCTGCAGTCAGTAATTTCACTGCACAGGATACCGTGGGCATTAGCTTGGGGAGGTCAAGTTCTTCTCTTTCCTATACACCCTGTGGTACCCATCAAGCAGCACCTCGCCTTCATCCAGGATAGGCTTTTCTCAAAGAGGGCAGGAACTAGAACTGCACTTTTAACAGTGAAGCAGCAAAGTACAAGAACACAAGCATTAAAGACAGACTACTTAGGTTTAAATCCCACAGAGCCATTTGCTTGCTGTGTGACCCTGAGCAAGCTGCTGAACCTCTCTGAGCACCAGGTCTCTTATCTCTAAAATTAGGATAATGTTATATACCTCAACAGCATGTTGTGAGCATTAAGTAATTTAACATATAAAAAGATTTAAGCATAATTCCTGGTATATAGAAAATGCTCAATTTTTTTCTCAATACCTTTTTGGTTCTCATTAGTTTATTCCAACTGTGCCTCTATCACTCACTAATGATACTTTCAGGTGATATACCAGATAGAATAATGAACTTGAAGTTAACTACTGGATGGACCAGTGATAATGTCCTTGTGCACCTTTGGGCTGTGGGGTTTTAGGAGGTGTAATCATTGCTTCATGTGTGTATTGTGAACATCGATAGACACAACAGTGTTTCATAAACTGTAGTGTGTGGTTCTTAGGAGTTTGCATCCATGTTCATGTCTGTTTGGCAAGATGGCAGAGAGAGGGAGAGGCAGAGAGAGAGAGAGGGAGAGGCCATAGAAAGCACAGGGGCAGCTGACAGACTGCTCTGCAAACTGAAACTTCATGCTCCCTGATTTGGGAGCTTCTCACAGACTCCTCTGAGATACATCTCTCTCTTTTCCAGAAGGTGAAATAGCGGGCAAAGGTTAGGGGAAGGGGCACAGGGCGGTGAGGAGTTCTGCTCCTCTCCCAGCAGCCTGAGCCCGGGCAGCTTTCGGGCTGCCCCTCATAGAACCAAGGCCCAGGATTCGTGCGCCTGAACACCAGCCCCCTCCCCGCCCCCTGCTGCCTGGGTGCCGTGGAGGCAGGCCATAAACTGGGCACCTCTCTGCCCTGCCCGGGGCCTGAAATGCCCACACTCCTGGACCCTTTTTAAGGCACACGCACAGTGTGGTACACAGAGGCAGCACTCTGGACCCCTGTGAGCCCGCGGGGAGGGCAAGTGAGTTTCCTAGACACTGGGCAAGGTTTGGACGGTGTGAGTCAGCTGTGGTGTGGTCTGATGGGGAAAAGCCAGAAAAGACAGCAAGGAAGGGCAAGGGCAAGGGGGCAGGATTTAACGTGAGGATTAACGTGTTACCACGTTAAATCCTCACAACCTCTCTGGTTAGCAGCATGATCCCCACTTCAGAGATGAAGAAACTGAAGTCAGAGAGGTTCAGGGGCTCACAGGTGAGTCAAGTGGCAGAGTCTGGATTTGAACTCAAGTCAGGCTGGCTTAGAGGTCCCTGCTCTTTTCACTGACCTCTTCTTGCTCAAGGGAGGATGGAGGCACGTTCGAGCGAGGGATACTTAAAGGGAACTTTGCCCGGCTTTGTGTGTGGCCGCGGCTCAGGCCTGCCCAGGGATCTCAAACCCACACACACGGTCCTGCTCTTTCTGCCTGAGACCCAAACCTGTCCTCCCCATGCAAACCTCCTATGTTTCTGATCGTCCAATTTCTTAAAGTAAGCGAAAACAACAGAAAACACCCCTCTAAGGTAGAGAGGGGCTTTCTGGGTCATGGCATGTGACCCAATAAATCAGATTCAGAAAAGGAAGAAAAACGTCCTTTTTGAAGGTTTAACAATTTAAATTCAACCCCGTGTTTATGGCATGACGATTTCATGCTGGTTGGCTTTTGGGGGCCCACTTTTTTCCTGGAGTGCCACAAAATTAGAATTTTTCAATCACTGCTAATTCTCCCTCCCCACTTCCCCACCCAAGTTTGCACCTTAAGCATTGAGAGGCATGTTTTGAACGCACAGAAAAGGCTAAACTACAATCATTGGCTGAAGCCTAATCCCTCTTGCAATCCCAATAAATGAAAACTAAATATCAGCAAATGGACGAATTTCGGAGCAACATCTGTGTTCCATTACAGAATTGCTGGCAACAATGGTGTTGACATACTCTGTGTTACCAGTTATTTCCTCTTGGATTTGCCGAGACTGGAGGATTCCTTCTCGTTTCTGAAACGGGGGTGGGAAGAAGGGTTGGGAGGAGGAGAGAAAAACATGCTTTAGAAAACTATGAAAAACCAATTAGCGTTCCTGATACTGAGCACGTTCCTGGTGTTTAAGAAAGGAGTCTGGAGTTGAGAGACTTCCAGACGTGAAACAAGGTCCCTGGCTCTTCGGGTCTGGACCGTACCATTTGCACTTAAGTGCAGTTCGTGTTCAGTCCAAACAAGTAGGCTGTTTCTTGGATGGTGAATCTTTTCTTTCTTTATTGGAAGACATTCTGTTGGAAGCAAACTGTTTGCCTCCTGGAGCAATCCACAGTAAACCAAATGGAAATGAAGGCCAGGGTGTGTCTGCCCTCCAGCTGGGGCCACAGAGGGAAGCTGAGAAACACAGTTAGCTGGGGGACTAGAGTGGAGGAACTGAGGCCAACTTCGAGAATTCGAATAGAGGGAGAAGTTTGTGTGTGTTTAATGGATAAATATAACAGCTTTTAAATACGTAGTACTGTCCTCAGGTAACTAGCCCACTCTCTGAGAAAAGATGAAGTACTTTGGAGGCCTGCTTGTCCGTCCGTCCGTCCATCCATCCATCCATCCATCCATCCATCCATCCATTTATCCACCCACCCATCCATCTATTTGACATCTCTTCCACCCCTCCCATCCTTTTATCCTCTCTTCTTTATTCCATTAATCAGTGCCTTCTATGTGTAAGCCCCTGTGTTGGACTTGGAGCACATATTATGAAACGTGTGACAGAGTTTCTGGCCTCGAGGGACGTAAGAGTAAAATGGTATAGATGAGGCAGGTGAGAATGGTTTCTCCAAAACACACTTTTGCCTGATGACCCAGCTCAGTTATTAGTAGGATCCCTTTTGCTCTCAAGTGTCATGGAGAGCCCTGGCCAGTTTGGCTCAGTGGTTAGAGTGTCGGCCCACAGACCAGATGCGGTTCCCACTAAGGGCATGTACCTTGGTTGCAGTTTGTCCTTGGTCCTGGTTGGGGTCATGTGGGTGGTGGCCACTCAATGTGTCTCTCTCACATGGATGTTTCTCTCTCTCTCTCCCTCCCACTCTATATGAAGATATATGCAAAAAAAAAAAGTCCTCGAGTGAGGATAAAAAAAAAAGTGTCATGGATAATAAATTATGTGGTCACCCTCTGCAGAGAAAAAGTGCTGAACGCAGGACAAGAGCAAGCACTTTCGGCTGGGATGTCAGGGAACCTTATAAGGGCAGGTTCCTTGATCTGGGGCTGAACGGACACACAGGATTTGGCTGCACACAGAGGAGAGGCCATTGCAGTGGGAACGGCCTGAGCAAAAAGCAGAGCACAGTGTGTTCAGGGCCGGTTCAGGGGGAGGGTGCCATGAGTCAATGGGGAATCCACTGAACTCTTGTCTAGAATTTATACATTTTTTTTCCTTTATTGATTTTTTTTTTTTTTTTTTGGTATGTGCCCTTAGCAGAGACCGAACCCGGGACTTTCTGGTTCATAGGCCGAAGCTCCAACTGCTGAGCCAAACCAGCCAGTACCCTTTATTGATTTTTTAAAGAGAGAAGAAGGGAGAGGGAGAGAGAGAGATAGAAACACTGATGAGAGAGAACATTGACTGGCCACCTCCTGCATGCCCCCCACTGGGGATCAGGCCCACAACCTGGGCGTGTGCCCTGACCAGGAATTGAATGGATGACCTCGCGGTGCATGGGTCGATGCTCAAACCACTGAGCCACACGCGCCGGGCTAGAATTTAAACCTCATTATGTGGGCATGAGAGCTAATGAAGGCGTGTTAGGGTTCAGGAAGAACTTCAGGTGGGCATGAGGAGGGAGTCATTGTGTCAGAGGACGGTCTGGGCATGGAAAGCAGTTGTCAGAGCTAATTCACCTTTCACAAAGGCCGAGGTGAGTGTCCAGAAGGACCCACCAAGTGCCGGTGTCTCAGTTGAAACCTGCCTTTTTTTTTTTTAATCCTCACCCAAGGACAGTTTTCCATTTTTTGTTCAGATACAGTGGGAAGGAGAGAGAGGGGGGAGAGAGGGAGAGAGAGAGAGAGAGAGAGAGAGAGAGAGAGAGAGAGATGTGAAAGGTACACATCAAGTGGCTGCCTCCCACAGGGCCCAACCAGGGCCAGGGCCAAACTGCAACCGAAACTTGCCTTCTTGACCTCCTGCCAGAACTTCCAGAACCTTCTCTTCACATTCTCAATAGCCACAGAATCTAGTGTCCTTACAAAATACGTTGAAAAAAGGAACGGTGGAGCTGGGTGAAGGCCAAGAGTATATCTGAATTCTATTAAGAAGGATGGACTATCAAAGCAAAAGGGAAGTAAAAAAAAAAATCATTTAAAGGAGATCCCGTGAGGATAAATCATAACTTTTCCAAAGTCAGCTTTAACATATGTAAAATTTCCACATGGGCTGATGGAATCTGTGTCCTTGTGTTGTGAGGCCGTTCAGACATAAAACCTCATCCGCAACATCATGTAGAATGAACTGCTCTTATGCACAATGGAAAAGAAATCTGGGTTAAATAACCTCTCACACCGCACCCTGATTCACCTCCATCCATTATTTGTTCCCTAAAGAACTCTCTGTCGCTCAGTGACTCACAGCCAATTCTGGGTCCTGCTTCCATGCCTGTTTCACTTGATAAAGCAAAACAGCCCGTGAAACCTGCCACGCGTTGACGCCGTTTTATGTAACGCGTCCTCTTTTCTCCCTCGTGCTCACAAGGCTGCCTACGGGAGAAATTAAGCCAACAGCAGCCTTCAGATGGCCCATAATTGAGCTCAAAATGAGGCATGGGCTCGCAGTGACCACTGCTTCAAAATAGAAGCCCCCCTTCTCCGGCTCAGATCTTGAATCACAGTTTTAAAAAATATAATGAAATGAATTCACATATTATTGATTGGGAAAAATAAGACGAGAAAGATGGCCTGGATTCACTGGGAAGATGCTTGTACCGGGAAGCTCCGGGCTGGCCACACATCCACGGCAGACTGAAAATGCTTAGCACCGTGCTTGACACAGTTGAGTGCTCAATAAATGAGGCCAATTAGTCCCTCTCTGTCAGCTGCACTTAGTGTCTGAGCCACACGCATTCGCATGGACGACAGGCTTCTGATAGCCCTCTCTGCTGCTTATCTCCTGGCAGGCAGGGCCAAGGTGTCATATTCCTATTATCCCTCCTTGATGTGTAGCAGGTTCAGTACCCAGAAGGTGTCAAAGAAATGCTCTTTCATTGGGGCACAACAGAGCAACTGATGGAGCAGCACCTCCAAGTCCTCTCCCATGAACATCTGTTCTCTGAAAGCTCAGCTCAAAGACCTCTTGTCCTGGACGCTGGCCTGGCCTGGTGAGGCACAGCCACCAGCCCTCGAGGCTCTTCCTCACCGAGGGGCAGCGGAGCTGCCATGCTGTTCTCTCGTCAGATCCCTGGAGACGCAGGGAGCTACTTGCAGCGTGTTTATTTGGAAAAGAACAGAAACGAGCAAACAAAATGACCTTTTGCTAAATAGCATAAAGTTGGAAAATAAAATTGAATCTGAGAATCTAATGGGGTTAGGGGTAGAATGAGAGAGTCACAGGGAGTGTGCACAACCTCACTGTGGAAATAACAGCCATGTGAATGGAAATTCCATCTGTGACCTGGAAAAGACGACTTGAGATTCCAGCTGTGCTTCTCTGGGCAGGTGACAAGTGGCAGTGTACTCAATACAGGCAGGGCCAGCCAGGGCCCCTCAAACACCGACACAGGCCACGCCCTCACACCTGTCTTCCTAGTACCTGTGCATCACTCTTTACACAAAAGGTGATGATTCTCTAGGGCTTGCAGTGTATATGTGCGTGCACGCGCGTGCACACACACACACCCCTTTCCTCCCAATCCTACTAGACACACCTCACAAACATACACACCATACACCCTCAACACCCTCAAATATACGTTACACAGACACCCTCCTGACAAAAACCTGTAAACCTCAGGTACATGCACGCACAAGGCATTCCCATATACAAGTACCCACTCTTCCACCCTTTGCACACATGCCTCAGAAAGCACATACAGCACACCCAAGGACACTCAGCATTCAGCCAGCTGTCCTCCTAACAAGCTACCCAGTGTGCCTTAGCTCTCAGAGGAGCTCAGCCTCCACACTCTTTAAGGGCGCAGATGTTTGAAGTGGTATCTCTCTTACCTGGACCACAACCACTTGGATGGAAACATGGTCTGGGAGTCGGATTGGTGCCCTGAAATACTGGGACAGAGCAACCAGCAGATGCAGGATGGCTACCAGGCTCTTGGCGTGAACAGCTAAAATAAAAGATGATTAAAAAAATTAGAGAATCTTCTTCTAGGTTCTAGCAGATATAAGCAGATATTCAAAACGTAGCTGTACCCCATCAATGCCCCTTTTATGCCACCCCTAAGGATCAGGGGGACACCCTTGGTCATCACAGCCTCACCCTGGGCCCCCTCATTCTTGGCCAGGTCCCAAGCTGCTGCTGCTTGGGTCATGCCATTGTCGGATTTCCAGTCATGCCTCTCCTGTAATCCAAGGTTTTCACAGAGACTCTGAATCGCTGAATTCTGAGTTCACATCACTCTCCACCACCTTCATGTTTTTTGTTCACTCTCTTTCAATAACCATGGGCACGTCTCCTTTGCACGCTCCCTCCTTCCCACTTGACTGTGAAACCTCTGGGTCATCACCACTACCCTAGTCTCAAGGCTCTACCCACAGCAGGCTCTCAATAAGTGGACACTCAGTCAGGAACACTGGGTTCCTTCCTTTGTTCAGGGCTTTAAGATCCCTGGAGGAAAGCATGCAAGATACCCAAAGGGCTTGGTTGCTCTCTTGAATGTCATGGATGGTCAGGTAGGCAGTGCCCTTGGGGAATAGCTGGGAGGGAATGTCCATGACCCAGTTGGCTTCTATAGCTACTGAGCAACGTGCTGGATGCTAAGCCATTTATACTAGGGAAAGCTGGGTTGTAGTTTCCCCAGCAGATGTGAGGAGAAAAAGACTGTGATGTAACGGGGCACACGCGTGATGAGACAGATTGGCTTGAGTTCTGACTTGACAACTCTATCATTTATTCACTGCCGAGAAGACCTTGGGTGGGCACTGAAGGACTCTGAGACCCAATCCGCTCCTCTTCACACACAGGGATAACTGTGCCCGCGCAGAAACATAGGTTGTAAGAATCTCCAGAGATCATGTAGGCAAAGCTCCTAGCCCGAAGTAGATGCCTGGGAATGGTTGGTATTTTTTATTATAATCTGAGAGAGTACCCGGCATCTAGGCAATTAAACCTTGTCAGCTTTCTCCCCTTTGATACTTGACCTGTCTTCACAGTCCTACCAGCCTCATGGTTCTTCATTACAGGGGTCATTTAAGGAAAGAACAGAAAAATGTCCATTTTGTGTAGTTCGCATGAACTGGACCCAGTATTAGGGTTTCATTCTGTCTGCACTAGAATTGATGAGTCTGCTCTACAGAAGCCTTGAGAAATCACCAAGAAAGGAAATGATTCAGACATTCCTGGAGAACTCATTAGAGTTTCTTGTTATCACTGCTACTTCAAAGAAGGTTTTCCACTGACTGTGCACAGCAGCTCAGTGCCACCATCAAACAGCAACCGATCTGCTTCTAACTCCGCCTTCCAGGCGTTTTCAGTTCTGGGCTTCTGAGCATCGTGAAAAGTTTCACCCACAGTGACAGCCTCAAAGAAGGCTCCTGGCATGGGACGGACCACTGGCACGGTGTGCTCACCGACATGATGAGGACTGCCACATCATCAGTCTAGTCACCGGGGCTGTAGGACATCTGCTACCTCTCCCCCTTTTAATGACAGAACATCATGCTAGAAAAGCTGTGGTCCAAACGGGCTTCCTTACACACTGGTGACATCGCACGCTGTCTTGGCTGTCGGTGAGCAATACACAGAGCTGTAGCATAAGTACCCTACAGAAGCCAGGCTCCTTCAATGACTACCGTGGCTCATTATTGTGCAATATATTAGCACTGAAAAATATCTGGAAAACACTGTCCAATAGCAAGAGGGTGGTTTAGGCAGTGGTACACAATTTTTAAATGATCATTAGACAGATAAACTCTTTGTTCTAAAAGCTGTTAGGCAAACAGGTAAAAAAAGTACAACTGCCCTGACCAGTTTGGCTCAGCGGTTAAAGCGTCGGCCTGCGGTCCGGAGAGACCCGGGTTCGGTTCCCGCTAAGGGCACGTACTTCGGTTGCAGTTTGTCCCCGGCCCTGGTTGGTCGTGCGGGTGGCAGCCACTCGATGTGTCCCTTCACGTCGATGTTTCTCTCTCTCTCTTCCTCCCACTCTATCTGTACAAAAAATGGAAAAAATATCCTCGGGTGAGGATAAAAAAAAAAAAAAAAAAAAAAAAAAAAAAGTACAACTGCTCGGGTCCCTGAGTCCTCACTGCAGCCCCCCCAGAGCTGCTGCTCCTCATCACCTTCATCCTGCCTGGAAGGATGACACAATGTCCTCCAACTACCAGGAAAGACAACAGAGAGGAGGACGAGCTTCCCCGGGGGCTGTGCCTGCCACATTCCTCAGGGAAGAACCCACTGCCCTTGTAAGCAGGCCCAGCAGTTCTTGAAGCCCGGAGGCATCACGGGGAGCCAGCTGTCGAGATAATTATTCCCTCTGACCTAGTAATTTATCTCAGCTCTGGAAATCAATGACACGGCTAATTCAAGAGAAGCCAAAGGAGACACTACCTAAGACATTCAACTTGGCACTAGCTGATATTAGCGATAGGCTGCCAACCATCCCTAAAGGATCGATGTCAATGTCAAAGGGTTCAAGTTAACGACGGGGTACCTGCCCCCTAAAAGAGAGCAGCTACCAACAATGATAACTAGGAAGACCATGTGAGAACACAGAAAATATGTATGACTTACTATTAGGTGAAAATAACAAAACACAAGGTATACCTGACTTTGTCAAGTAAAAATAGGTGTTGATAAGGATCGTGGTGGGCAAAGATGAAAAGAACCAGACAGCAGAGGTAGTGCGAGTGACTGTTTTACTCAGGCACATTTTCCTATGAGAAGTGAAAGCACACATGAGACAAACAAATCATCCAAAGCCTACGATGGTCCTCGCGTGGCTTTTAAACATTCCATTCGTCTATCTCAGCCTTCCCCCAATGGCGTTCCCTGGTAAGTTAGAAGGTGTTTTGTTTTGTTTGGGAGGGTCCGCGGAGAAAGTCCACATTCAGAGGAGTGGGAAAGAGGATAAAAAAAAGCTAAGCAGGGGTCTTGAGGACAGGACTTGTAATGCATTTATGACTTTATGCTTTAATGATTGTGACCGTTTTGGATTTCCAAAATGCAGATGATACATTTCTCAAATTAGTGATCAAGCCTCCTTGTTTCTTCCCCACTGAGCACTATTAGCACTCTGGGGACACAGGACAGAGAGCATGGAGGGCCCCGAGCCTCGGCCCCTGCTCGGCCCTCTGGCTCCCTGGCAGATGATGCCCTGGCCCAGTGCTGAGAGGCAGCTTTTCACACCGCGCAGGCAAAGGTGTAATTATGCGGAAGGAGGCACTTGGTGTCTTGCCTCCAATGTAAGATGTTAGAAACCTGCGGAAGAGATGTGACAGGCAGCTACTGGGTCTCTCAGTTGAGAGATGAAGATTCCTTCTCCTTTGCTAAGTTTGAAAGGTGTTTTTATGGGGGGCTGTGTCCATTTTAGGTTTTAAAACGTGGACGCGATAAGATACAATATTGAGCCCTTCAATGCTTAAAGGCAAAGAACACACTCTGAATCATTTTATCAATCTCAATTCACATTTTTATCTATTGCAAAGAACAAAACCACTCCAGACACCTACGGGAAATAACATCACTAGGGATTCACTCAATTTGCTGATTTAATGTTGGTTCTGATATGGACTAATTAAGTCCATGTTAGATATCCAGTCCCTTTAGGCAGCGAAAGAATGAGTGGTTTATACTTTCTGAGATCCTGGAGCTGTCTAGCTGTGAAAGCTGAGTTTAAAAATCCCGTTCCTGGGCCTACAATGTCAGCCAGATCTTTGTCTTTCCTGGAAAAGGAGTGAGAGGGAGGCTGTGGGCTCTGTACCAGAGCCACGTCCCTGCTCCCCAGCTTCTCAGCAGCCCGAACTCGGGGACGTCTGCTCTCCGAAGCCCCGACAAGCTGTGGACAAGAGCGTTCTCAGAAGGTCGTGCTGGGACGCAGATGCAGCTCAGTGAATGTGGGTGTCCTTCCTCTCCCAACCTTACAGAAAGCCTTTTACAGATAAGGAGCCCTGGCTTTTGACACTTTGCTATCTGTCCCAGAGGTATGGAGGACAAGTTCTGTTTGTGTGAGATGTCTTCACTTAGTCAAAGGAAGGGGTCTGCCAGCTTACTGGATGGCTTCGTGGGGAAGCCTCACGGTAGGGACCGCAGGCATCATTTACCAGACCCATTTTCCTTTGCGACACTCACAGTCCACATTCCACTTGATGCTTCTGGGAGGAAGTTTCAGGGTTTCGTTGATCTTCTCCAGGACCGTTTGCAGCTTTTGCTTCTGAGCAATCTCTGACTGGGTGACCTCAGCGACGTTCAGCTTCTCGCTCTCAAGTTTCTCTGGGGTGACAGAGGAAAACACAGCTGTGATCTTTGCCCACGGACAACCCCAACTCAAATGCATGTCCTCACACATTCACTCACTCAACATAGACAAGCATACCTCGTTTTATTGCACTTTGCTTTATTGCTCTCCACTGACGTGGTTTTTTTTTTTTACCAAGTGAAGGCAAGACCCAGCAAAGAGATTATGACTCGCTTTATTGCAGGGATCTGGAACCAAATTCCCATGATCTCTCAGGTATGCCTGTAGATGAGGGACACTGCTCTCCCCTGCTTGTCTGGGGGTGGCACTGGAGGTCCCAGTATTGTGAAAACCTTGTGATCATGTCTTGAATCCCCAAATTATAAGATCTCAGCACCTTAGAAGCAGGGCATGTAACCCAGTGTGTCCTATTTGAACTTTATTTCTATCATTCTGGGATTCTCCCTCTTCTTTTCAATTCTGCCTTCTCCAAGGACATCTCTGTGCCCTAACTGAAAAGCCTTCTGTGCTTGCCCTGGGCAGTGGTCAAGTCCTGTTCTAGGCATTTCGCACGTTCCTTGTATTGTATTGTAGAAGGAACGTGCAAAAATGCATGTATTACACCGAATCATAGTTATTGTTTTAAGTACCTTCTTTCCTTTAAACCCCGTCCGGAAAGTAACTTATTTGGTGTGTCCTATTTCATCAGTTCTAAGGCACACATTTTTTATTTTGTTTCATTTTAACAACCCTGAAATCAAGTTGTGCCTTAACACTGATAGCATCCTACAAGTGCAGTCAGGCAGGCAGAAGAGATTAGTTTCAGCGCTTCCACGCGTGTGCGTTTGGTTATAGCTCCGCCAGCGTGGCCACTTCCGTGCCTTAATAAGCCTACAAGAGCAGTTTCAAAAAACAGAAAATAAAAATTCTAAGCAGTAACAAAGCCTTGTGTAATAGTTTTGTTTTTTTCCCCCTCTTTCTCTCTTTTTGGGTGGTACGTATATACCGGTGTGTTTTACAATCAGTGGTTACTGTCCGGCCAGTGTGGCTCAGTGGTTGAGCGTTGACCCATGCACTAAGATGTCGCCGGTTCGATTCCCGGTCAGAGCACATGCCTAGGTTGTGGGCCCAATCCCCACTGGGGGACATACAGGAGGCAGCCAATTGATGTTCTCTCTCTTTGATATTTCTATCTCTCTCTCCCTTCCTCCTCTCTAAAATCAATAAAGAGAAAAAAAATCAATGGTTATTGTATGTAATGAGATAACCCCTTAATTCTTAAAATAATTAGACTGTGTTTTGCCTTTATTCCTCCAAATTCCTATGCTTATCTATTAAAAAGCAGAACTTTGGACTCCCTCCAGAGAAATATGTTTTCAGCTATTAGATTCACTTAAGTCACCCTCCACAACTCATTCAGGATTAATAGAACAAACACCCTGAAACATATCTAAAATATCTTTTTTCCTCATTTTTAGGGGCTGTCATACAAAGTAATTAAACTTTACCATACATTATTTATTTTGTTTTTTAGTAGCTATAGCTGATCTAAGTCACATGTCCCTTGGGTAATTCTTTGGAAATGGTGAGGTTGCCCACTAGAGAATTTCTGCAGGTTCTGTGGATTTAAGAATCCTTTTCATCACTTTAATAGGATGGTCTCGAGCTATTCTTCTTATCTCTGCTGGCCTGAAATATTAACTTTCTCTTTAGTTGCCCGAAGCCATCATGCTTTATTTCTACAGTTCAGGGATTTAACAAGCCCATATCTAAATGTCTTCTCTTGGATGTCACACCTTGAAGGCACCCCTGTGTGCCTTTTCCATTTTTAGGCTGTGAATTCTTATCTTGGATCCTCTTCCATGGAAGAAAGGACAAGTTGTTTCGTCTTGCATTGCAGCTACAATTTTGGTCGTTTGGTAGAGGCTGCGCAAAGCGCTGGGTTAAGGAAGCTTGTGAAACTTGATCTTGGCTCAGAGGGAAACACTGCTGGGCTAGGAAGGTGACGGCTGTCTCGGGAGTGGGCTGGGGAGGCGGGAGGGGAGGCGTGCAGCATGAGAGCCGCTGTTTTGCTAGCCTTGTTGCACTCCGTGACTGCCCATGAATGTTCATATTCATAACCTGCTGGCACTAGACTTCTTAGCGTGAAGAGCTTGGATCTCTGAGTCTGTTTTCTAGGTCAATAACTTTATTTTTTGCACTATTGGTCCATTCTGTTTTAATTTCTAAAAAATTGGATTTTATACATTACCTACTAGAACAGTCATTATTTTTCTGTTTCCACCAATATTTTTAAGCAGTCCATGATACTAAAATTATAATGCATTCTTCCTAAGATTAAAAAAATATATTTTTTTGAGCATCTGGCATTGTTTATTCAGAAGAGCTTTTAAGGCTTTGCTTTATTTCTCTCACATTACTGCTTTTTTAGGAAATGAAATTCTGGCCCAGCTGGTGTGGCTCAGTGGATTGAGCGTCGTCCCATGGACTGAGAGGTCCTGGTTTGATTCCAGGTTGGGGCACATGCAAGGGTTGCAGGTTCCATCCCTGCCTGATGGGGGCGTGCAGGAGGGAGCTTATTGATGTTTCTCTCTCACATCATTGTTTCTATCTCTCTCTATTAAAAAAATCAATAAAAACATTAAAAAATGCAATTCTGCTTTACTTTTTCCACTTTAGTTATTAGGCAACCGAGGCCAGGGACAAACTGCAACTGAGGTACATGCCCTTAACGGGAACTGAACCCGAGACTCTCTGGTCTGTGGGCCAACACTCTAACTGCTGAGCCAAACCAGCCAGGGCATTTTATTATTTTTTAAATCATCACCTATAGATTTTAGGGAGAGAGAGAAACATCATCAGCTGCCTCCTGTTGGCACCCTGACATGGGATCAAACCCACAACCTTTGTATGTACCCTGACCAGGAATCGAACCCATGAACTTTTAATGTATGGGACAATGCTCCAATCAACTGAGCCACCCAGGCAGGGCTTATTGTGGTTGTCTCTTATGATCCTTTCTGTGGTGTCAACTGTAGTGTCTGATTTTATGTGAGTCTCTCTGGTGAGTCTAGCTAAAGGTTTGTCAATTTTGTTTACCTTTTTAAAAAACCAGCTCCTACTTTTATTGATCATTTCTATTATCTTTTTAGTCTCTTTATGTCTCTATATGACACATGTCTCACTCAAACATATATCGTGAATATCTTTCTACATCGATAGATTATCATTATAACTTATTCTTCTATAGGACTTGTAACTTATTTAACCACCCCCCTATCAAGTTATATCCACTTATTTCCTATTGGTAATAAAGTTTCAATAAACATTGTGTGTGAGTACTACCAAATGATTATTGATTATTAAAAAACAAGACAAAAAACTGTTGCCCTACCTTACAGATTTTCTTCTTAAATAATCACCTTACCAAAACCCCTTAGTAGTTTTATTATTGTTTATTTGAATTTTTAGCATTTTGGGGGGTATGCAAATAAGATAAAACACAGTCATCTCTATTTTGTAAGCTTATATCACTTATTTTAACTTTATGACATTTTTAAAGACTTACTTGAGAACCTCTTCTGCTATTCCTAGCCTCTACTTTATTTATAAAATATTCAACTCTCAAAATTTAAGAGATCACTCAAATACTCCTATAGTTAAATAATAACTTCACTCCCTGTTGCTAAGGATTTAAAGGTAATTAATTTTTTAAGACTCCTAATTTTCCTTTTTGGTTCTTTATTAGGCAAATTTTAGCTAGTGCTATGAAAATTTTCTATGGCAGAAAATTTAGTCCTCCAGGAAATTCTCTCTCATATTTTTTCATAGTTCTGAAAATTACTCATTATTAGTCAACTTATTATAAAGTAGGCATCATTTTGTTTTTTAGAAAATTTTCTCAAGTAGAATTATTTAGTGAATCTTTCCGTTGTTTTTGAAGTTAGCATCCAAATATGCTTTTGGATAGATTCTTTTTAGGAAAAAAAATGAAACAGTATTATTCAAAAGTTCTGAAATATCAATACAGGAAAGAAAAACTCAGTTACTCTGAATGGTAGAAGAACTGAGATGTTCTAATGAAAATATTGCCATATAAATCTTATTATATTCATGTAACCACCCTTCAAAGAAGTAGAACACATAAGTCCTCTTTCTAGTATGAGTGACTCCTAAGTTATGATATATATGTGGTTCTAATTACATGAGGAGAGTTAGTTAAAAAATGGTTTATTGAATTATGGTCAGAAAATTTGGTGTAATACTTTGCAGAGACTTACTTTGTGGACACGGTCAAATTTTGTAAGTGTTCCATATACAGTTGAAAAGGATGAGAATACTCCAGTTTTGAGGTATAGCTAGTTAATTATAGTGTCCATTATCTTCTCTAGCCTTATGAACTTTCTTGTTAATGTGTTAAAAAGAAAAATATGTTAAAAATCTACCACTGTGATGGCAGATCTGTCAAGTTCTTGTCATTCTGATTGTCATTTTAAATTTTTAATCAGATATATATTTGATCCACAAAAGTGCATTTAGATTTAAAATGTTTTATTTTCCTGATAACTTTTGTCTCGAACAATATGTAGAGATTCTCTGTAGTAATGCTTTTTTTTCTTAAAGTCTATTTTGTCTGATATTTAAAAAGTTACCCCAGCTTTCTTTCAATTAGTAATCATCTAGTATATATAATTATTCCCACTGTTTTTCTTTCAACCTTTTTCTCTCTTGTAAATGTAAATAGCATATAACAAGATTTTGTGTTGTTATCTAGCCTGACAATCTGTCTTTTAAATGGATTGAGTTAATTTACATTGATGGGTTTACCACTGTACTTGGATTCACTTCTACCAACTTGTTTCTATTATTCTGCTTTTCTGATCCTCCCTTACATCCTTGCCTTCTTTGGATTAAAGTTTCTATTCCTTCTCATTTAGTTTTCTCCCCGTTACTGGTATGGAGGTCACACATACTATTCTATTATTTTAGTGGCTACCTTAGAAAATTTATCATGTGTATTTAATGTAATAGAATC